CAATTTATCTGAAAAAGGGGTATCAGGACACACAAAAATGGTTATAGCTCAAAAACTACTAATAGAAGCTTCAGATTTTCTTTGGTTGTTTAGCTCTGATGAGGGGCTATCCATCAGGTCAACCAATGCTGCCCCACCCCCCTAAAAAGGACCCCCTCCCAAACCACAACGATTTTGGGATGCACCTAGTGTCAAAAAATTACATTAAATTGAACCCAGAACATTGCTACAAAAAAAACTTTTTTGAAACAATGGATGTTGGTGGTGTTAGGCAGGGCACTCCACAGACGTGGAGCAGCAGCACACAAAGCCCCCATTCTCCCATGATCCTCATTTTGGTTCTGGGTAAATGGAGACGGTTTGGATGGATGGAGCAGAGAGAGCGAATTGTGTTTTGTAGATTAAAGAGTTCTTTGGTGTGTGAGGAAGGAAATCTTGTATTCAGTCCTGCAGGAAGCCAGCAGAGAGAGTGGAGGTTAGGGGTAATGTGCTCATATGTTTGTGCACTCATCAGCATAGCTGAAGAGTTTTGGATGCTGGGACTTCTGCAGGGATTAACAGAAACTAGTTATGATCTGAAAAAAAAAAATCTGCTAAAGACCAGAGTTGTAATGTAACTAAGTAGAAATACTTCTTTACTGTACTTAAGCAGAATTTTTGGGTATCTGTACTTTACACGAGTAATTATTTTTCAGCCTACTTTTTACTTCTACTTCTTACATTTTCACACATTTATCTGTACTTTATACTTCTTGCATTTTTTAAAAAGAAGTAGAAACTCATTACTTTTATTTCATTTTTGCTTGTTTTCATTCCAGTTTGTTATTGTAAAAAAAATAATACTATCTACGTATATAAACTGTGCCTCCTAGACAGAGTGAATTTAATTGTGGTTGAATGAGAAGTATAACTATATAAAATTCTGATACCGTATTAGTTTGTGCACAAACAAATCATGTCACACTCCGGCAGAACAAAATCATTAAAATAAAAGGACTGTACTTAAGAAGTATTTGTATTTCATGAATTATGTTGTTTGGCCGCAGCCCTCAGATAGATTTTCAGTTTGGGGAAAATATTTGTGCAGCCTTGATATACAGGTGCTGGTCATAAAATTAGAATATCATGAAAAAGTAGATTTATTTCAGTAATTCCATTTAAAAAGTGAAACTTGTAYATTATATTCATACATCACATACAAACTCATATATTTCAAATGTTTATTTCGTTTAATTTTGATGATTACAAATGACAACAAATGAAAATCTCAAATTCAGCATRTCAGAAAATTAGAATATTACTGAAGACCAATAAAAACAAAGGATTTATAGAAATGTTGGCCAACTGAAAAGTATGAACATGAAAAGTATGAGCATGTACAGCACTCAGTATTTAGTTGGGGCTCCTTTGGCCTGTATTACTGCAGCAATGCGGCGTGGCATGGAGTCGATCAGTCTGTGGCACTGCTCAGGTGTTATGATAGCCCAGGCTGCTCTAATAGTGGCTTTTAGCTCTTCTGAATTGTTGGGTCTGGTGTATTGCATCTTCTTCTTCACAATACCCCATAGATTTTCTATGGGGYTAAGGTCAGGAGAGTTTGCTGGCCAATTAAGAACAGGGATACCATGGTCCTTCAACCAGGTACTGGTAGCTTTGGCACTGTGTGCAGGTGCCAAGTCCTGTTGGAAAATGAAATCTGCATCTCCAAAAAAGTTGGTCAGCAGCAGGAAGCATGAAGTGCTCTAAAACTTCCTGGTATGTGGCTGCGTTGACCCTGGACCTCAGAAAACACAATGGACCAACACCAGCAGATGACATGGCACCCCAAACCATCACTGACTGTGGAAACTTTACACTGGACTTCAAGCAACGTGGATGAAGTGCCTCTCTTCTTTTCCTCCAGACTCTGGGACCTTGATTTCCAAAGGAAATGCAAAATTTACTTTCATCAGAGAACTTGGCTTTGGACCACTCACCAGCAGTCCAGTCCTGTTTCTCTGTAGCCCAGGCAAGACGCTTCTGATGCTGTCTGTGGTTCACGAGTGGCTTGACACAAGGAATGCGACAGCAGAAACCCATGTCTTTCATACGTCTGTGTGTGGTGGTTCTTGAAGCACTCACTCCAGCTGCAGTCCACTCTTTGTGAATCTCCCCCACATTTTTGAATGGGTTTTGTTTCACAATCCTCTCCAGGGTGCGGTTATCTCTCTTGCTTGTACATTTTTTTCGACCACATCTTTTCCTTCCCTTCGCCTCTCTATTAATGTGCTTGGACACAGAGCTCTGTGAACAGCCAGCCTCTTTAGCGATGACCTTTTGTGTCTTGCCCTCCTTGTGCAAGGTGTCGATGGTCGTCTTTTGGACAACTGTCAAGTCAGCAGTCTTCCCCATGATTGTGTAGCCTATAGAACTAGACTGAAAGACCATTTAAAGGCCTTTGCAGGTGGTTTGAGTTAATTAGCTGATTAGAGTGTGGTACCAGGTGCCATCCATTTTGAACCTTTTCACAAGATTCTAATTTTCTGATATGCTGAATTTGAGATTTTCATTTGTTGTCATTTGTAATCATCAAAATTAAATGAAATAAACATTTGAAATATATGAGTTTGTATGTAATGTATGAATATAATATACAAGTTTCACTTTTTAAATGGAATTACTGAAATAAATCTACTTTTTCATGATATTCTAATTTTATGACCAGCACCTGTATGTATATAAACTGAAATAGGTAGTGCATCCTAAATTTAACAAAAATTAATTGTTTTATACAACAGTCATTTCTGCATTTTTTGGGGAGGTCCCAAATGAGATAAATGTCCTTACAGAAAATCGACCTGCTCATTTTAAATCAATACTTTTACTTTTAATACTTAAGTACAAAAAACATCAGATACTTTAAGACTTTTACTCAAGTAATATTCCTAAAGGACACTCTAACTTTTACCAAAGTAATTTTTTGATAAAATACTTGTACTTTTTTACTCAATCACTTTGTGGTACTTTATATGACACTGCTAAAGAGTGAGTCCACAAACACAACTTTGTGGGGTTTCACTGTGCATCAGAGTGGCACTTGCCCCCTCAGGCCCCTCCTTGAGGGTACCCCTGATGCTGTAATATTTAATTTGGTGTTTAGCGTTGATGCATATACTAAAGCATGTAAAGGACCATATTTCTATTGAGAAATATGTAAAAATGTATTTGTAAACTGTTGAACCTTCAAGCCATCCTGCTTATCCAGCTCCCTGATGATCTACAGCAGAGGGAGCTGTTCCTGTGAGCAGATCCAGAGTCTATGATTCAGTGCTGCATGTCTGCCACCACACTCGTAAAATTAACTTTAACCTTATTACCTTAAAGGTGAGGGTCAGAGTACACTCAGAAGAAATATCTCCTCGGTAATATTTACTGTCTTTGCTGCAAGTCATAAGGACAGAAAAACATCTGCATAAAAAGCTGCCACCCCCAAAGGCATCCAGATCCTTTTTTTTTAAATTCTGAGTTTAGACTTGTTTTCTTGAGAAAGCAGAATTTAAGAGGCACAACACATCCTGCAGCCTCACTTTGTTTTCTGGGAGTTCGTACGTTTCCATCATACTTCCAGGCCAGCCCACACAAGCCGAGTTTTTGACCCCGAGGATGAAGCATAATAAATGTTCACAGCCTTAAAATGCTCCCACACCTCTGCATGTGCCCCGCAGCTTATCCAAATTCACTCCCACCCATTTAAACCGCAAATGGATGTTATCAACAACAGCTGAAGGGTCCAAATACACACAGAATGATAATTATGCGCCTTTTGTTTCAATTCAAAATGACTGTTGAAAGCTGAATTCAGGAATGAAAAGAAATAATTTATTAAAATACAGGTAATTAAGCAACTTTAAAAGTTTTGGTTGTTTTTTTATTTATTTATTTTTTCGTTGTTTGGTGAAGTGGTTTTTATCTAGCAGGCCTTAGTGACTCAGCTTCTATCAACACCAAAGAATCAGAGCCTTTTCTTCCTTTTTTTTACTCCATTATAATGTTGACATAATAGCATGCCTGGTCCATTTTAGTGATCAGATAAATCATCTGAATGGAGGACTTTCAGCACAGTCTTGCAGCTCATTCGTGCCTCTCGGTGGGCAGATGTTAATACTAAGCCCTGAAAGCAGTGGGGAGAACAGAGGGGCATCACTAATATGCATAATCCTGCCTCCTGATGTTTCCATCAAGAGACACAGAGTGAGACGTGCATTATTCTGCTGAAGCCCCACAACACAGTGAACAAGACCTTCCCCCAGGTTCCTCCCTGAGCCCGACTCTTGTGTTTTCTTGATAATCAGACTGCACCGATATCAAAGGAACAAAGCTTTTGTGATAGCTATTAGCTGCAGCTATACCTGGTTTCTGTCTGGTCATTTTGTCCGAAGGATCAGAACATGGAGAGAGGGGCCTTATTTACAAAGAGAGAGGAGTCAGCTGAAGTATCTTTGTGTTGGTAGAATGGAGCAAAGGTAAAGATAGTTTTCCACAGCCTGTAAGACTGCGATGAGCCGTCACATATCAGCTAAATGAAAAAAGATTTAAATAGCTCAATTTAATGGGGGTCTCAGTGTGTTTCTTTAGGTGGGAAATGTTGCCAAGTTGAGCCATGCTGTAACAACCATGCTGTAAATAGAGATAATCTAACAGGTTGATTCTACAGATATACATGTCATTTAAACTCTGTCAGGTTGTCAACAAGAAGCATCAAGACGGCACCATCGGGTTCAGAGACCTGAGAAAACTATTTATGTTGACTTTTTATGTTAAACAGTTATCAGATAACAATGATGAGCAGGAATATCTGATATATTTGTTTCTAAATTAATCTGTAGCCATAATATACGGCATGTTTTTTTTTTTACAGTTTTCATAACAGTGTGTACAAAGATTTCAAGTTAAAAGCCTTAATAATCAAAGACATGCAGACAATGAAAATGAGAATTAAATAAATGTGTATTTTTTCTTCATGGACTAACATGCAAGTTAGATTTTTTTTCTGTGTATTTTAAACTTACTCATTTGTATTAGAAATGTAAATCCCTAGTTTTATCACGACAATAGCAAATTTGGAAGTGTTAATTCAACTCCTAGGGAGTTAAATTCAACACTGTGAAAGTGTCTATATTGGTCCACCCTGGATCGAGGTAAAATAACACTTTTGAACGTGTTGAAAAGTTAACACTGTGGCAGAGTTGGAACAACACTCTAAATAGTTGAAATGTAACACACATTAGTGTTGAATTTACCAAAGACTAGTGTGTGGTGTCAAAGGTTAACACTTCCAAAGTGTTATTTTAAAACTGACCAAGGTTCAAATATAAGACTATGGTAGGTGTTAATTATTAATGATGAGTCATGCTCAAAAGCATTGTAATGAATCAGAAAAACCAGCTCCCATCAAATTAGAGTCAGCTCCCCAAGTTTATCCTCCTTTGCTGGCCTTGTGACCGTTCACATGTGAGGATAGGTCTTGGGCATGGTCTGAAATAACAACACTGTTGAGTGTTATTTAACTCTTAACAGTGAGTGGAGCTTATTTAACTCTCCAGAGTTGAGACAACACTGATGAAATCAACTCAGTGAATTAACACCAACACTGGAAATCAGTTTGTTAATTTTTGAAAATAACACTTTGGGAGTTAAAATCAACTCTGAAAAGTTTAACACTGAAATTTTAACACTTCCATTTTTGCTGTTTCATTTCAGTTCTCAAGTCTGTGATGAATATGATGCATCTACTAAAGTTTTAATTTTGTAATTTTGCTGTAATAAAGATAGTGTTTTACCCAACAAAAAAAGTCATGTCCAAGGTTAGTTTTTGATGTGATATTTATAGTTTTTTTTTTTTTTTTTTTTTCAGTTTTGCTACAACTGATAGATGACTTCGGGTTTTGGAAAATATTTTTTCTTCTATAACTGAAAACATAACATCACACATGGTTAAGTGAAGAATGTGGTTATTTCTTGTTTAAATATTTTGCAATAATATAAATGATAAACACTGGAGGGATTTTTTTCTCCACTTGTTTATGTCGGTCACTGTTTTTGATTATGTGCACTAAAGGCAACATTTTATCTGTTAAGTTTTAAATTAAAACTACATTTGGCTTTATTGTTTTCCTAAAAACATGATGCTGTTATTCTATTTTCCTCCAGGGTTGTTATAATATGCTCTAACTTTTCAGATTAAAATCAATTTGGTCTGATCTTGATCTCACAGTTCAGCTTTAATTTAATTAGGACTATTTGTGCTGTACACTGAGGAGAAACACAACCGTTTGTTTTTAATAAGAGGAATATTAGTGTGAATGCTGTATCAGCATTCACACTAATATTTATTTAGCCTTTTGCTAATTTCAGCCATATCTTTGCAGCTTTTGGCTGTCTTTTGAAAAGTCAATCTAACCTTTTGCTATCAGCTAGCCCAGTGGTGTCCAAAGTTGGTCCTCAAGGGCCGGTGTCCTGCATGTTTTTGGAGTTTCCCTGGTCCAACACAACTGAAACTAAGGAGTGCTTAATTAGTAGGTTTAATTAGTATGCCATCAAGGTCTGCAGATAAGCGTTCAGCTGTGTTGAACCAGAGCAGCTCCAAAAACACAAACATCGGCCTTTGAGGACCGACTTTGGACACCACTGAGTTAGCCCTTCATTCGCTTTTAATTAGGCCTATTGTTTTGCTACTTTTAATTTTCAGCTAGCCTTTTGCTGCTAATAGCCCTTTAGCTTTTATGTATTGTTGGGAGTGAGCCTTTGCTACTTTTGACTTCTAGCTAACCCTTTGATACTATCAGCTAACCAATCATTCATTAATTTAAACCCAAAGCCTGATTATTGCTGTTATTTTTAGCTTTTTCATCTAGCCTTTTGATACTTTTAGCTTTTAAATGTTTGCTACTTTCAGCCATCTGTTTGCAACTTTTAACTGGTATTTTGTGTTTAGTATTAGCCTTTTGAGCTAGCTTCACTACATTTTTAGCTACTGTTCTGTTATTTTTAGCTTTCAGCTTGCCTTTTGTTACTTTTAGTAATTTCTTTGTAAATTTTAACAGTTTTTTTTATCGTTCCCTTTGCCTTTTTGATTTATTGCCACATTTCTCAAGCCTTTTGACAATGTTTATTTATTTATTTTTAGCTTTTAGCTACTTTTAGCCAGCCTTTCGCTAATTTTGGCTATAGTCTTTTGACATTTATCTGCCTTTTCCTACATTTTTCTCGCCTTTAAGGCAGTCATAATTTTAGGCAACATTAAAGGTTTTTCATATACCAGATGCATACATTTACAACATATTTTCTCAGTCTCCATATGTTTTATTCATTAGTTTTTTTAATCATATACTGTATATTGGCTGCTGGTTCGGGCCGCACCCTCAACACGGTCTGAAGAGAGAGAGAGAGAGAGAGAGAGAAATCACGTCACTCCTCATCGTCCCACCTCCTCCTTGTCTCCTCCAGGCAGCTTATAAACACTCTGATCCATCTTCCTCCAGCTTACCCAGTAACATCACGGTGACCATTACGTGGAGCTCGGATGGGAGGGCGCACAGATGGGAGCTGATTTCTTTACAGAGAAAGACAGAGGGGTGGGGGTAAAAACAGGTGAAGCGTCTCTTACTCATCCAGAACCAGAACACGCTGCATGTCGGCATCATTTCCTGCTGCTCCCGTCGACAAACAGTAAGTATCCAGCTCCATCCTGATCTACATCTTGTCGTGTTTTGCTCCTCTTTTTCTTTTTTTCCCCCACAGGGTGTTTTCTCTTTATCTCTCCAAATCATCTAAACATTTTCTGATGTTTTATAGAATAAAAGCCTCAAAACACAAACATCCTGAATGTGACCGAAAAGGAAAAAATAAGAGCGCCTTCCTCCTCTTCCTGCCTCGCCTGAGGAAAATAAAAAATAAAAATAAAGTGTTTACCGTGCCGACATGTAGCTGGGATTTGATCAGACCTTTACTACACTTCAGATTAGGGGTTGTGGCAGATTATAGGCAGAAGATAAGAGATCTTTTTTGGCTCCTGAGAGGAAACTTTGGTGCAGCAACAGGTGGTGTGTGTGTGTGTGTGTGTGTGTGTGTGTGTGTGTGTGTGTGTGTGTGTGTGTGTGTGTGTGTGNGTGTGTGTGTGTGTGTGTGTGTGTGTGTGTGTGTGTGTGTGTGTGTGTGATTTTTTTTTCTCGCCGGACCGGAATCAAGGCGAGGAGCAGAGGGAAAAACAAAGTAGGGCGTCATTCAGCACCGAGACACTGGACAGCTCCCACGTCTAGGACTAATCATTTCCTTTTAGCTCTGAGGGGAATAGCGGCTCATTCATGACTTGTTGTCTTTTTTTTTTTTTTTTTTTTTTTTTTTTTTTTTTTGTGCTTATTGGTAGCAATATTGGCACACGCGTTACGCTCAGCAGTCAATCCGCCAGCTGTGTGGAAATCAAATTGATTTTGAAGCAGCAGATGTTTTCATTGTGAGACTCCCAGATCCATAGCAAAAAAAAAAAAAAAGGTTCCCTAATTTACTTTAAATTGACAGTGGATTAAAACAAGCTTAGTGAGCGTTATTGATTGTCTCTCCTCTTCTCAGTGTTCACATTTTCTCTAGTTTGCACTCAAGGACCCCTGCTTTTATTTTTATTTTTCACCCTTTTTTGCCTCACTTCCTTCCTCTCACTAAACTGTCCCCATCCCCCCCTCCTCCTCCTTTTCCACTCACTCCCAGTCTTGTTGCATAGCTACCAGCTCAAACACATTCTGGAGAAGCAGGACCTTTTCCATGTCTGTTCTCTTGCTCTTGTCTTATTAGGTGGGGAAAAAACCCCATTAATAATAACATTAATAAGAAAACCTGCAATATAAGCTGAAAGTTCACGCTTCAGGTTCTTTTTCTGTTTGGATTTATTGTTTCAGTTTTGCAAGGCACGGCCACCAGCGTTCATCCTAAGTGCTGTGATCCTCTTTTTTCCCCCTCTCTCTGTGTCCCCCCATCCACCACCCCTCCTGTCTCCCTCTTTCGAGAGGAGCTGAAAGGTTGGCATTAAAACAACAAAGGAAGGATGGAATGTCAACAGGCTTCAGAGAGAAATCGTCTGAGGAAGAAAAAAACACAGAATGGAGACTGGATGTACTGTTTCCATCTCGGACAAAAGTTCACAACCTGTTAACACCGCTCCACAAGACCAGAGTGTCTCTGACTCCTACAAATTCACCCCGTCACCTGTAAAACCCAATACACCCTGTTCTGTGCCCGTTCTTTTCGACTTCATAATCCTGTCTCCTTCTCTGTCACCACAGATTAAAGACAAGAACGCGGAGCGCACCGGGAGGAGGTGAAGTGTTGGTAGTGCTGAGTGGAAGACTAGTGATTTTGTTGTGCCGCTTTTCAAAGAACAACAAGTCCCAGTCTACCTCTCAGCACGAGCAGCGCCCTTCGCTACGACGCCACCTTCAACCTGCACACCTTGACCACGCCGGCCTTAACGACAAGACTTCCTGTTTGCTCAGCAGGCGACGATACATGAAAACCTGCCCTTTTAAAGTTCACTTCAAGTGTTCTGATTCTGTCCCTGAGTGAATGGGCGTTCAGCCTTTGTTAATTACTGACAAAATTGCAATCAAAAGCACAGTTTAAGCATGAAAGCTGCTCAGGGAAATACTGTAATTATATCACAAAGTGCCTCGTGTGAAACAAACAGAGCAGCTTTTGTGTTATTGTTTTCTATTCGTTTCCAGTGAGTCACGTCGTTTTAATGTATGCCACATGTTGTTCCTCAGAATGTTTACTGATGATTAATCAAACTGCATTGTAAAGCATGCTGTTTCCTGATTTTTATCCTAAAATAAAACCATTGTTTGAACTTTTATTATTATTATTACGTGTTGTAGCCTCTGTTCACATCATCATGGCAGGGCTGGAGCACTGAAGGAGACCAAAACCATCAAACTGATGTGAATACACATACACACGAGTACGCCAACAGAGCCGGTACATGGTGTACTCAAAGAGTTACACTGACCTAAACTGTTAAAACACAAACTCACAGGCGAAGGCAGAAATCCTTTAGGATCAAAAATAGTTACATGATGAGTCCTGCACACATTGATTTTTTTTTGGTTTTTGTTTTTTGGCCAGTATGACATCACACAGACAGGATAGTCTGCGTGTGAGGTGGGCACAGATCCAGACTGTTTCTAAGCTTTGATTATTATCAGTAAACAAACCTGGGCAAATACAAGATAGAAACACCTCAGAGAACACAACGTGCCCTCTGCTCCTCACTGGTCATCATCTTTCATTTTTATATATGTCTTTAAGGAAGCTCAACAAGTAAATATGGGAAATATAAAGGCAAAATATACATTTCTGCCATACAGTTACGACTGATTAAACACATCAAAAGAGCAGCAAAAACACCTTGCTGCAATAATAATAATTATTATTATGCCTCCATATAATAAAGCTTGAGGCTGCAGAATTTAAAAGCACGCCACATAAGCTCACCTTTTGCTCCTGTTACCAGGAAACATAACCTGACAGTATCCCTGTCTTTGTTATTCACAATGAGCACACTGCCAGCCCAAAGTCAATTACTTGTATTTAAACTAATTAAATCAATACAAATATAGATTGTTTTACTGGAAGCTGACATGAAATCAAACATCAAAGGTCATCATCTTCACTGAAGCTACAGGTGAAAATCATGTTTTATTTGTCTCTCTCTAATAAAATATCACCATCTTTCAATTAAAAAAAATACATCATGGCTGCATCTCCTTCATGCTGCACCCTGCAAGTCTCCAGATTGGCAGCATCCTGGTTTTTCATATATAAAAACCAAGGACTGGCTTCCGTTGCTAAGCAACACAAAAGAGTCAAGTGCGTTTGTTTATTGGCCAATGAGAACGCAGACAAAGTTTCAAGGTTTTTTGAGGAAGACCCTGTAATAATTACATGAAAAAAAAGAAGAGGCATATTCTCTTATAGGCGCCTTTCATATATTGACTGTATAAATAGTGGCATGAATAATGGATTGGAGCATAAAACAGCACTTCAGCCTATCTATAGAATAATATTGGTTCATATAGAGATGCACCATCTCTTTTCTGACAATTATGGGAGGTTTTCCTGCACATTCGTCTGAACTTATATTGTTTTAAAAAGGGCAAAAGAAAAAGCAGCTTCCACAGAGGCAATGAGGTGACAAGAATTACAGCCACGCTGCATGTTTCTTGCTTTATCCTATTTCGTCTGGATTTAAACTCAGTGCTGTCTGCTGAAGTGGAGTGAGTGTGTAATTATGATGTCTAAACAATAAAAGCTGTTGCCAAGCGCTCCAGCAGATGGGTTTTTATGAAGAAAGACACTAGTAGAAAACAGTGAAAGGAAGTGCACAACAGGTGACAAAATGACATCAGAGACACTCTCCAGGGCACAGACCTCGGGTGAATGTGTGGACTCCCCTTCTAGCTGTTATCACTCTCTCTGGGCAGCCAGCCTGGCGTGATGGTGAGCCAACTGTTCCCCGATGTCTGCTCTGGCCTGGCACCCACCATCACCACCACCACCACCACCACAGCTCCGGCACCTGTCGGAGCCACTCCGGGGGGAGGGAGAGGCAACCACCAGTCAGCATGTGGCTACATGTGTGATCAGGAGGATCAGGAACATGTCGACATGAAAGCAGAGCTGACATTTGGTCCGCTCACGCAACAGGAGTCTCATTTCATGGCAAATTGAGTGCAGCATGAAATGCTAACACATTTCTGAGCTGGAGCATTTTTTTAATAAGTTGTCAGTGATGAACACAACACAAACCTTTAAAATGAAAGTGAAGCAATCATGACCAAAATCACATCTTGGATAGTTCTGTTTTTTTTAAAAGGTTATGAACATTTTGTATCTTACCTGTTGTAGGCAGCTCTTTTAATGAGCTCAGTTTTTTATAACCTTTATTGTCCCTCAGTGGGGAAATCAGTTTTCTGCATTTTTCACTGTGAGCACACACGTGGATCAGAGGGCTGCCATTGAAGGCATCCAGGAAGCAGCTGAGGGGTTAAGGGCCCAGAAGGGGGCGAGGGTTTCCCACCCACATTTTTAGTTCCAATCTGGGGATTTGAAACAGAGACCTTCCAATCAGGGTCACCTTCTTCATTTCATTTATTTCTGTTATTTAATTTAAACTCAGTCATGATTCTTCTTCTTTATTTTCTCTTGTTTTCAGTGTGTTTACCTGTTGCCAAGTGTGTAGGAATGAGTTTACTATTTGGGGGAGGGGTAGAGAGAGAGAAACACACATAATATTGGTAACCTGAAAGAGTCGTAAACTTTCTATGCAGAAATGTATCATAAATTAACTACACTGCAAAATGTTCATAAAATGCATTTTGATCTTTTATTTTCTTCTTTTTTCAAATGTTTCTTGGAAAAATAGTGTTGTGGGCAAACCACCCAACAAAAAGGCTTTAATAGGGTTGCACAATTCTGCATATTGTGAAAATACAATCATCACAATAAAACTGTGCACAATATTTGTATTGCAAAGGACTGCTTGGAGTGCAGTAATTGTTGACTAATGTATTTAAAGAGTTTTGAAGTTATATTTTTCATGTTAAAGGGATCAGTTGTAACATTAGACTTKATTTGATAAACATATATTTTAACTGTAAAATAAAGACAGTAAAAATACTGTAGGCTGCTCAGTGTTTATCATTTCTAAACTAAAAGTTTAAAAATATATTACACAGACGTTGCCATTTTATTTACACGCAAATCATTCTGGGTAAATGATGACGTGGACAGGTCATCTGTGTGAGGCTGCTAGCGAGCTATATCCACCCTGAAGGTTAATCTTGGACAATATCTGATGATCGACTCTTTTAAATGAAACCAGAGAGCGTTGACAGAGAGGAGAAGGTAGAAATGACTCAGCCTGTAACTGAAAATATAGATGGACGACAATAGAGCTGCTTCATGGAAGAAAAACCTCAGCTTAGCCTGTTAGCCTTTGTGCTAGCACTGAAGATTTACACTCACCGGCCACTTTATTAGGTACACCACGCTAGTAATGGTTTTGTGGTCATAAAGGGATGGAC